GTCAGTGTGTGTCATAGTGACCAGTCATTCCCAGTCCTTCTGCTGTTAGGGTCAGTTTGCATATTACCCTTTTACTATATAGGATAGAGGCCTGGTGCACGGGTCGGGGCCGGCTGGCTTGTCCTGAAGGGTCCCAGATCAGGGTAGGGGTCCCGCTTAAATGCCTGGCCAGCCTGGATGAGGGCTGATGGCTGTTTGCAGCTAGTCACACCCCCTTCAGGGTGGGCATCCCCACTGGGGTCCCTGGCCAGTCTGGGTGAGGAGCTGAGGGCTGTTTTCAGGCTGGCGGGTGACTGAAGCTCCCAGCCTCTCCTGTTTTTCTTTTTCTTTTTTTTTTTTTATTCTGAGATTTATTTACCTCATATAATTGAAACATTGTTGCCGTCACTGGCGCTCCCAGCTTTGAGGCTACGGCCGGCTGAAAGCAGGTATCTGGGGTTTGTTTAGCTTCTATAATTGAAACTTAGTTGCTTTCAGAGCTAGAAGCCGGGCCGCGGCAGGCGGGGAACCTTGGTTTCCTCCATCACTGGAGCAAGCAAGCCTCCTGCTCGCTTCAATAATGGCAACATTGTTGCATCTGGAGCGCAGAGCTGGGCTGCAGCAGTCAGGGAACCTTGGCTTCCTCTGTCACTGGAGCAAGCAAGCCTCATGTTCGCTTCAGCTGTGTGGCTGCCTACCGCCATCTTTGTCGGCAGTTAATCTGCATACCCTACTGATTAGCCAATGGGAAGCCTAGCGGAGGTATGGTTAATTACCATGTTTGTCTATTATTAGATAGGATGGGATGCATCAAAAATGGTAATAACCAGGAACATGGCCTTTCATGGCTTTTGCTAAACCTTCACCTGGTCTTGCAAAAAATATTTCCAAACTTTAGAATTTATTACCTAATTACAACAAGAGATGGTATAACCAATTAATTAAGTTGCCCCAAATCAAATTTTATTTTAAATGATTTTTTTAACATTGATTTTAGAGAGAGGAAGGGAGAGGGATAGAGAGATAGAAACATTGATGAGAGAGAAACATCATTGATTGGCTGCCTCTTGCATGCCCCCTACTGGGGATCAAGCCCGCTAACCTGGGCATGTACCCTGATCAGGAATCAAACCAGTGACTTCCTGATTCATGGGTTGATGCTCAAACACTGAGCTATACCTGCCAGGCTCCAAATTTTAAATTGTGTTTACGTGTTATCTAAATGTTATAGTGGAGTCCTGGTGTGGCTCAGTTGGTTAGGTGTTGTCCCATGTACCAAAAGGTTGCCAGTTCAACTCCTGGTCGGGGCACATGCCAAGATTGTGGGCTTGATCCCTGGTAGGGGGCATGCAGGAGGCAGCCAATTGATGTTGCACTCTCACATTAATTCTCACTCTCTCTCTTACTCTCTCTGAAATCAATAAAAAAATATCGTTGGGTGAGGATTAAAAAAAAAAAAGGAAATGTTTCTGTTAAGTAGGGATTAAATTACTAAGAACCATCAAGTTTTTCTTTTCGTATTTTACTGAAGTTTTTAAAAAAATGTCTGAAGCACTTGTCTGCTTTAAATGTGCAACATTCAAAGCATAAAACTTGCAGATAATGTCATTTAACAGGATAAAACAACCATTATGATATCTATATATATAAAAGCCTAAGCAACCAAACGACTGAACGACCAAATGACCGGTCAACTGGTCACTATTATGCGCACTGACCACCAGGGGGCAGATGCTCAATGCACAGGATCGGGCTCCCTCCTGTCTGGATCAGGCTTCCTCCTGTCTGCATCGGGCCTATGGGGATCAGGCTCCCTTCTGTCTAGATTGGGCCTGCAGGGATTGGGCCTAAACCAGCTATCCAATATCCCCCGAGGGTTCCCGGATTGTGAGAGGATGCAGGCCAGGCCGAGAGACCCCACCAGTGCACTAACTTGTGCACCAGGCCTCTAGTATTATATAAGAGTACAAATATAGATAGATGATAGATAGATAGATAGATAGATAGATAGATAGATAGATAGATAGATAGACAGATGATAGATAGATAGATAGATAGATAGATAGATAGATAGGTGATAGATAGATAGATGATAGATTGATTCCAATAATAATGGAAATGTAGCTAAATATCTAAGACCACATCTGAAAGGTATCTTTTAAACCAGCGATTGCCAACCAGTGGTCCGTGGACCACAGGTGGTCTGTGAGGTCCAAAAGGCTGGTGACCACTGTTCTAAACTACATCCCAATTATCAAAATGGTTAAGAAGAAACCCCACTGAATGTGTTCATTTAGTCCCAGTTAATTTAGGCTAACCTAAACTTTATGCAATCATTCTGCAAATATTTGTTAATCACCTACCATGTGCTAGGTAATAGAACTACACTGGGGAGGAAAATAGTATATACCGGCCATTTGTTTTATATCCTCTATATGAACCAATATATAAATTTCCAGGATCTTATAGTATTAATATTTTTATAAAAATATTTCCCAAAATGTGCATTATTTGAAATCAACAACTCATAATTCAATAATATTCCAAAGAGAAGTTCTAATAACGAAGAAGGTTATCTGGCACAGAAATAAGCCAGCAAAGACGAAAGAGATATAATCTATTTCAGTAATCTTAAATCACACTGCCAAAATATGGAATTTAATGCCTTACATATTGCTTAAAATATTTTCCTTTTAATCTATTCCCGATTGCCTTATTATATTAAAAACAAAAGAATTGATTTTTATATCTCTTGGCATTTTATGTGCTTTGATAGAAGACTTTTTGCTTTATTAAACCACAATGTGTTTAGGCAGCACAAATGTATTAAAATATGCATCTTAAAAGTGAAGAGATCTCTTGCCAGCAGTTTTAATTCCCCATAATAATCAGAAGCTGTAAAAGTACTATAAACTAGCAAGCTGGTAAGCATTTAGGTGTCTTATTGTGACCTTTCCCACCCTCCCCCAAATGCATGAGTCATTTTACCCTAATCATATTTGGGGTACATATAGATACATAAATATTATGTGCCCCATTATTAAATGTAAATTATAATTTTACCAACTAGAAATTTCACATTTCTACTTAATTAAGCTCAATGAGATTAATAGGTAAGCAAAACTACAAATACCTCCATGTAAAGGGAAGGGAGAGGAGTAGAATTGGGAATAACTACTAATATGCATAAGGTTTCTTTTGGGGGTGATGAAAATATTCTAAAATTGGACTGTGGTGATGGCTGCACAACTCTAAATATACTAAAAGCAACCAAACTGAATGCTCAATTGTCAAGCTAACAATGCAAAATATGACACCTCATCTTTGGACAGGAACTACCTACATCAAATCATTCAGTTTTGCCTAAGTCAATGGGTGCCTTAAAATGATTACTACTTTATATAATGTTAATACAAACTAATCACTCCAAAAAACTCTACAGAGGTTCTTATACCTGATAATCCAAAATGCTGAATCCCAAGCCTTTATGATCTTTTACTAGTTCAACAATCTTAACTTCAGGAGACCATAGTGCTAATTCCCCATCATCATCTTCTTCAGTGTTGACATCTACATTGTGATCAGCCTGAAATACAAAAGAAAATATATGCTTCAAACACTGTCCTTTCAATTCTGAAAAGAACATGTCAGGAATCTCATAGCTGCTTCTCAATCTGGGGGTTCTCTTTGGCATGCATAGTTTTTATTTCTAATCTGTTTAAAGGGTCATGCACTGAGGCATATATACTCTAATATAAGATCTTCATGAAAATTCAAGCCCTTAAATATGCAGATTGTTCATATAGTTTTTTTTAATGTAAAGTACCCATTTCATTCAAAGTATTAACACTGACCTCTTATACTTCAATGAGTTCTGTCATCCCATTAGAAGCATAAAAGGAAAAATATGCAATTTAAGGAAAAATGAAAACATCATACAAAGTCAAAGCTTAAAAGATATTTAAGTAGCAATACCTGAATTTGCAGTTATAGCAAGAGACAAAGAAAGATGCTAACACAGAGAGAAACCAGGACAGGACACAGGGAAACCACTTCTGTTGACTCCTAGAAGTTTTCAAGGAAAGACTTTACTAGAAAAATAAGGTGGGGAAAAATCCAAGTCCTTGGGAATCATTCAAATCTAAAAACAGATAAAAATTACTAAGTTGAAATAATGAAAATCTCATCTTGGAGGAAGTAGATTGGCACAACTACCCAGTCCACCATTCTTGGTTATTTCTTCTGACCTCACACCCCCAGGTCCTCCTATTCCAGGCTTCCCTTCTTTCAGGGAGAAGAGTCACTGCCATATGGAATTCGAGGGAATTAAATGATACAGGGTCAATGAGTCAACTATGCAGAGCAAGAGTAGCTGCTTCAACCTTCTGTCTTGATACTATTTATAGTACCATATAGTTGGGGTTTTTTATATGATTTAGCTTTCCTAAAGTACTCTGAATTTCTACCTGAAGCTCAAGAATTATCTTTTTCTTTGTAACCCTCGCAACAAGCTAGAATGAAAACTCTGCAGGCTACCATAGAGTTTACCATGGTTATCCACTCAACCCACAATAGTACCTGGCTCACAACAGCCACTTGACAAATATTTGATCATACATTAATGAACCATCCATCTTTCAGTGGGTTTTCCCTGACACTCTTTTTAATAAAGCTACAGGCTAAATAATAATTTTCAAAAGTAGACTTCTTAAAACTTTGGGAAATCCTAGTAAATAAAATGCAAGTGTATTATTTCTACAAATATCATTTTGAGTGACCTGTATAAGAGAACCAAATTAATGGAATTAAAGTTGGGGGGGAAACTCCTCTAACATGGAAGAGTAAGGCACCATAGCTAACACACAAACACATTTTAATTAGGGTTGGTCCAGACTCAAACTGTCCCTGCAGGACATGGAAAGTCAATATTCAATCCATGGTGGATTAAGTCTAAACATGGGAAAAATTTCTTGGTTCTTGAGTTACAACATTTGAAATTAGTGGGAATGTTCTGGATCAATAACCTCTGTATATATCAGCCTGACGTGAGGAAATGATACTTATAAAGAAAACTTTCCAATAAAAAGTAAAGTTCCAATGGCTAATACAATATGATTGATGTTTTACTGGGGCACTTAATACCCTCACTGATTCATGATCATTAGAATTTTGGCTGAGCTGCCTAAACAGAGTTTAAGAACCTACGATAGCATTGGGATAAATGGAAAAAAAGAGACAGACGGAAAAGAGAGCCAGGATTTTAAAAAACCACATACAATTCTAAAACTGAAATTCATAGGGATTTCAAGGCATTTAAGGTATACAAGATATTATTCTACAACCTGAAATATATCATTTTGATACAATCAATTCTGCATAACTCCTATATTCACAAAATGGAAAGCAATCAACTAATGGGCAGCAAGGCTGACATTTAGCATAATTCAGAGCTGTAGTTTACCCATTGTGGTAAAGTATGACAGATGGGAGGATAGAGTCAGCAAGTTGGTGATTTACACACCCTGTAAGATTAGATTAAAGGCATTTTTATCAACCTTTAGAACAGTGGTTCTCAACCTTCCTAATGCCGAAACCCTTTAATATAGTTCCTCATGTTGTGGTGACCCCCAATTTCATTGTTACAAATTGAACATAATTAAAGCATGGTGATTAATCACAAAAACAATATGTAATTATATATGTGTTTTCCGATGGTCTTAGGCGACCCCTGTGAAAGGGTCGTTCGACTCTTTAAAAACAAGAGTCAAAAAAGTGTGGCATTTGAGTCCCTTCTTTGAAGTATGCTTCACTAAAGATAAACATTTTTAAAAAGATTCGCAATCAGTAATCTACTAAGCACTTCTTATACGCCCAGTACTGAATGAAAACACTATGAGATACAAAATAATTTTAAGATACGGCCTTTGCTCACAGGAGCTGACAATTTCCTGGTCAAGACAAGTTTAAATATGCATCTGTGACTATATGAGGGTGCTATGCTAGACTCTTCTCTCTGTTAGGAGATCAGAAAACAAAGACAGGTGAACTGGAGGAGTCAGGAATAGCCAAAGCTAACTTTCATGGAGCACTTTCCATGGGCAAGGCATGTGACTAGCACTTTGCCTACATTACTGCATCTCCTCCTCACACAAACTGATGAAGTGGCTAAGTACTAAGTACCCCCACTTTTCAGAGGAAGAATTTGAACAGAAGCCAAGTTATTTGCTCAAAGATTCACAATCATTATATGATAGAGCAGGATTAGAGTCCCTATATTTTGAAATTCAGACCATAGGTAGGTAAAAGGGAAGGCCCCATGTGTCTAAACTTTTGTTACTAGAATTATAATCTAGAAGAGTCCAGAAAGGTGGAAATGGCATAAAACATGAGGTTACAATGGCATAAGATGACAAAGCACGTGCTTGAAACTTTTCATAATCTCAATGCTCTTTTAAAAAAAGAGTATAAGAGCATAGAAAGTGTTATTTTATTCTCTGACCTTCTGAAGGTTTTTACAGCAATTTTTAGACTCACTTCAAAATTGGTCATAGATCTTCATATTTTTGAGGCTCTGAAAAAGGGGAAGTCCATTAGATATTCAACAACGTCCTCAACTGATTAAGATGAACTGAGTTAAACTGGGAGCCAAAAGCAATGAGCCCAGGCAAATGCTAGAAAAAGCTTCTCTAAAATCCAAGAGCATGCACATTAATGTCACCAATATTGCAAGGGGGGGAAAAGGGGAAATTTTATGATATTATATGAAAAGTAACAGTTTGAAAGCTATGCATTGTTGTAATTGAGAGCTACTGTAGTAAAAAAAAAAAAAAAGAGGGGGGGATATTTTCTCTCTTTTTATATTGTAACACACTCTTCGGGGCATCCTTGATGAGTGGGCATGCCTGTGGGAACCGTGGTTCACTGATTTAGTACCTCCATCTCAGGAAGAGAGGCTGCCGTGGTCCTTGGCTCATCTACAGAGGCTTCATCATCAAACAACCGTCGACAGCAAACCAAGGTAAAGGGGGGTGGCACTTCCTTAAGAAAGGAGACTGCTTCTCGGCGAGATTTCCCATAGAGCTGCACACCATTGAACTAGAAAGACAAGGGTAAGTCAGAATTAAGGAGGACCCAGATGAAAAACACAAAAAACCCCGGCTTACATCAACCTATCAAAATGAAATTAGGATATAGTTTTACTTTGCCTACAAACAAAGGGCCTAAACTTAACATTATTTTAGTAGTAACTAAAAACATTAGAAATCCTTAAAATTTATAAAAACTAAGGCTAAACCGTTATTGAACTTGGGTGAATAAAGTATAAAATGGGTGCAGAGTACAATTTTTACTGGGTATGTGATCTGCCTAATATTTCATACTTCCATGGCTCCTCCTTTCTATACTCCAATGTTCTATTCTCTCATCTACTTCTACCCATCTCTCCTTAAACACATTCAATATCACTTACAGCCTTCTGAAGACCATTTCCTCTTCTTTTTTCATTTTGTAAGAATAACACAATAGATATTAACACCAATTTTAAGGCTGCTAAAAGCTGTTGGAGTTACAGTGTATAGGTAACAAAATCTAGGCTACTGTCAAAATTTAACCTCAGCTCACAATTTTCTTTCACATCCCATAAACTCTTAATACCAGACTGAGAAAAGTCACTTCGATAGAAAAGTTCCTATAACATTGTATCAGTTCTATTCTTACATGCTCTGCTGACATAGTCACCAATTGCAGAAAGTGTGTCAGTTTTCAAATTATCTATAATAATAAAAGCATAATATGCTAATTAGACCAGACAGCCAAACAACCTTCCGGACTTCCTTCCAGATGACCTTCCAGATGAAGCCAGGGCTGCGAGGGCCGAGCCCCTTGCACGAATTTTGTGCATCGCGCCTCTAGTTTTATATGTTTAAAAGAAAAAAAGATAACCAACTATTCCTTAATGATGAGTAATACTTATCACCAAAAAAATCTAAATGTCATATTCTTTTTAGTGCACAATAGCAATATTTTGCACCAAAGATGATTTATAAAGATGTCTGTTCTAATTTTCCATATATATGACTTTAGCTCAAGGAGCTTGGCCAGTTCTGACGAAATGTCACAAAAAGCTGATCTGTCTGCTGCTCCAAAAAGGCTGAGGCATGAACACAATCCAGGCAACAAATAATCTTTTCACATCTAACTCTGGGACTTCCTGGGAGGGGTCAGCAGCATCATTCGTTTTAAAGACGTTCTGTTTCTGGCATTAATTTGTGGCAGGTGCAGTGCTAATGTCTGCCTTTGTGGGAGGAACCTCTCCACTGAATCCATCACTGCTCAGAGAATAAGAGCACAGTGGGTTGTTGGAAGCATCCCATCAGCACGTGATCTGAGCCCCGAATCAACTGTCCCTGGGAACCACTCTCAGGCCCCTAACATACCAAGCACTTAGCCATCAGGCCAGACAATCTCCCTGCCTCTTAATTATTTACAAAGAAATCACCACATAGTAAAGAGACCCGCATGTGCTTCGGGGAGTTAGCCCTAGTGGAAAAGTAAACACCATCTCCCAAGACGTTCTGACTGACGAAAGGGCCCAGGGGACAGCACG